AACATACTCCGTACTAATTTGTTGTTTTAAAAATGGGTCAAAACTATAACAATCAAAACTTTGGGTCACATTTGAAATAAAAAAAAATAAAAAAAAAGTGGATGGCGTGAGATATGGTGTACGCCATATTTGGTATAAAGCAAAAGCCTCTCCCCCAAAATGGTGTAATGGTGTAGGGGATGGTGTAACTATTGGAGTAATTTTTTGCCAAATCCACCATTTTGGTGTAGGATTTGGTGCTTGTTGGAGTTGCTCTTACATATCTTCACATTTCTCTCAAAAACCAACTCTCAAACAGCCTAAGTAAAATATCAATAAGATTGGTAGCTTCCATTTAGTAAAGCTAAATAACGCCATCGAACATTAGGAATGGACCCGAACAAACGGTTGCTTCTACGTTACCTGAAAAGTGCAAAGTACATCTATAGGAATGGACCCGTTTTTACACCCACCGACCAATGTAATTTAACTTGAGACGAATTTACCATCCCGCCGTGCGAAACGCGTTTGTCCCTTTCTCATTTTAGATGGTTGGACGGTATTTGCTTTTGCACTTTTATTTCTTGGAAAGGACGGGAAAATGTTTAATATAGACTATAGAGTAATAAAAATTAACAATTTAAAAAGAAGCAAGTTAGAATATTTTGGTGAGAAATATTTTTTGTATCATACAAAACGTCAAAAATGATTAAAATGTCTCGTCCCCATTCTAATTTTTAACTTTGGATTATACGAATTACTCCTTACACTACAAAAAAAATAAGGATTGTCATGAATTTTTGGCAAGGATTTGGGTAGAGTTATGTCAAATTCGTGCCAAAAACAGTTTGACACGAGTTATTTGACACGAAATTATCGATAAATCCGTATCAAATCCGTTTCAATCCCGTAATTTTTTTTTGTAGTGCTAACTCTATATAGAAACACATATTTGAAAACATGTTGCTCTTTTTTTTTGAAAAAAAAAAATAACTTTCATTCAAAGCATCATCGTTCAGAACATGGAATATAAAACTAGGAGGAGACCCGCTCCAACAAATACAATCAGGCAAAGAATAAGCAGCTTTAGCCAATTCGTGCACCGCCCTGTTCGCTAATCGCTTGACATGGAAAAAAAAGATATCAATAAAATAAGATTTTATCTATCGAATATCACCACCAATAACCCCTGCCAAGGAGACACACGACTCTTCAAAATCTTTCAAACAGCTCCGGACGAATGAGACTCTACTTCCACACAATCCCACCCTTTGCTTTTGACCCAGCTCAAAGCCTCACCAATGAGACTCTAATTCCTCACTTTTGGAAGCAAAAATTCCAAAAGTGTTTTTTAAGAATGACAGATACTTCTTTAATTGTCAAGAATTACGTTCATCCATTTTAGTTAGTTATTGTTATCAAGAACAACAAATCGATGTAAATACTAAATAGTCCCATTGTTTTTCATGGAAGGGTTTTTTATGGCATCATTTTATTTATTCATACAAGAAAATGAACACATCCTTTGATCATTTTAGGATGAGACTTATAACTTTAAGGATGTTTTCTTTTGGACTGATTTCAGTCTCAGACCAGACCAGATTAGATCATACCAAACCAAATCAGACCAGACCAGACTTCTGTAGTTATAAAATACACAAAATCAGACGTTTACCAGACCAGACCAGACCAGATTAGACCAGATCATTCCAGACCAGACCAGATCAGATCAGCAAATTTCAATCCAAAAGAAAACACCCTAACTCTGGAACATCAATAGTCCTTGTATTTGATCATAAGGTTACCTACCTTTTCCATCATGAGGAATGGCGAGAGCGGTGGCGAGGAGTGAGTAGCCGGTGAAAACGCCAATTTCCATGGTGTTCTTAGCATTGATCAACTTCAGAAGCATGTTCAAAATTTGCCCTTCATCCGCTGACGTCATCATCCGATTCCTGTACGTTTACCATTTAGTGTATATTAATTGTCACGTTCTCTTGATCTTTCAAATGGCTAATGAGAATATTATCTCAAATAAGACTACAAAGGTTTGAAAATTTCAAGGGTGTTCAATATGCAAGTCACATTATGCAAAATATAAATTGTGTGCCCAATATGTGTGTAGTGTTTTTTGTGTAACTTATGAAATATAATGCAGTTTGTTGGGTTTTAAATATGAATGACAATAACTGAAAAATAAAACAGAGCTTCCAGAAAAGTTGTAGGGTTTCAAATATAAATACAATTTTTTTAGATGAGTAAAACATTAGTTTTAGACGAAGGAGGATGAGACAGTGGTTAAATTTTAATAATTTAGTGAAAAAGAAGAAGATAATTGCAAAAGAAAAGGATAGGGGAATCAGGAAAGGAGATGGTCGGATAGATTTTTCACATTGTGTACAGGGACGGATCCAGGATTTCTATTCAAGGGGGGCGAAATTTTTCAGTAGTGTAGGGGGCGAAAAAAATTTCGTTAGTGTAGTGGGACGAAATTTTTTCCCCTAATGTAGCGGGGCGAATTTTTTCCGCTACTGTAGGGCTATGCGGCTAATTTTATTCAAAAAATGACATTAATACATACACATCTCCAACGACATTTAAATCTATTAAGTTGTACATTCTAAATTTAAATTAGACGATGACAAAGACATCAACCAATACATTTTTAATAACTTCTACATTGTTTAACCTCATGTATCGGTTATTATTGAATTGTAATTTTTGTCCAGCCACCAAGGAGGGTGTTCGTGAGTCATGACTCATGAGAAGTTTTCTTAATATTACAATAGTAGTATGTATGATATTATTATTTTTAGAATAGTATGCACCATACACACACACACATGTTGTGCATATTATATTTTAAATTTTGTATTAATGCTATAATAATTTAAGGTTTATTATCTATGCAATAAATTATTTTTTGAAAGCATTATCTAAATTATCTATGTAATTATTTTAGATGTTCCTTCTTTTAAATCTTCAATTAAGTATTACATTATGTAACACTATATATTTCTTTTGAAAATTAAAAGCTAAGGGGGGCGAATCTAATTAAATTATGAAAATTTTATGAAAATATTATATATATGGTAGAAAATTTTGAAAATCCAAGGGGGGCGGTTGCCCCCCCCGCGCCCCCCCCTAAATCCATCCCTGATTGTGTAACGATCTTACAGTATAACTTGCGACTACCATGTGGATAATAGTCATAGGTGCAGTGTGTGAATGGCGACGAGTCAGATTGGTATTGGTAGACTTTATTTTTATCAATCTATCAATTTTTTATATTCCACGCAATTCACCGCATGTTAAAAATTACATTCACATTTAATATATCTATCAAGATCGAGCTAATCATGTGAATGGTAATGATCAAAGTATAGAGACCAATAAAGTACTACCTTCATCCCATTTTATATGTCTCCTTTGATTTTGACATTGGTCTGGTCTGGTCTGGTAAACGTTATATTAATATGGAGTTGAGACGTTTACCATCCGATCCCATTTTATATTAATGTTCAAATCTCAACTCCCATTTAAAAAAATGATTGAAAAGGTAAAAATTGTAGTTGAGATTTGAGTATGGTAAAGTAAAATGTTGTGAACCACATATTTCTTTTTAAAAAGTAAAAGGTGACACTTATTTTGGAACAAGCCAAAAAGGAAGGTAAGACAGATAAAATGGGACGGAGGGAGTAGTAGTTTTTCTAAAAGTATAAGGCTATATATGTTTGCATTTGCTTCTACTTTTTAGAAGTGATTTATTTAAGTGATTTTTGAAAAAGTGATTTATAGTGAAAGTAGATGGTGTTTGTAAATAGAAGTGATTTTGATAAAAAGATAAAAGTTGGAGTGTTTGGTAAAAAAGTGTTTAGTGTAATATTTTATTAATGTACCAAAATTTCCTTTTATAAATTAAATGAAAATTTCGATATGAGCATGAAAGAGAATGCTTCCGGACAAAAGGATGCCGGCGACGACTAGAAAGCCAACTCGGCCAAGCAGCCTTCGTGACATTTGCGTACAGTTCCAGCAAGTTTGTGAGGCTCTGCGGGTAGCGAAGAATCTCTGAAGCCAAACGTAAAGAAATCTCTAGATCTTCAATTTTGAGTCTGCAACGGTGCCTTCCAATTTACTTACCGGCGGCACAAATCGGAGAAGATGGGATTAGAATTTGAGGGTGCCGCCAAAAGCTTTATTCATGGATGGGGAGTTGAGTTATGCGCCTATGATATACTAGAGAAAGGGAAGGGCATTAAATTGACACAAACTCTTTTATCAATATACTAGTGTGCGTACCCGTGCAACGCACTGTAATTTTATTTGCTTGTACTTATGGTAGAAATTGGTAAAATAGAATGGATGTGAAATTATAACTTTTTCCGATCCATTTTGTATGCATGTTGGTGTTAATTTTACGCATAAATGCGATATATCAATTTTCCCGATTGATTTTGTAGGATATTTTATTTTTGACGTGTAAAAAAGTGATCATTTTGTAAATCAATTAGAATGAACTTCTACTTTTTTGACTTTATAATTTTCTCCATCACTGGATTAAATTTTAAAATGTAATTTGAGATACATTTCTTTTCTTCTTTTGTGAGGGTTAGTATGGTCAAAGGCTTATTTACATATTTTTTTTAACTCAACTTAATTTTTTTGACACTGTATGGTGAGTTCTGTAGCCAGTCAAAATACGTACTCTGTAATAATTTTCCAGTTGAATTGGCAAAATTTATTGAATAATTCTAGTTCGTCATATTCTTTTTTTTTCATTTTGGATGTTGTTAGTGACAAATTTGTATTAATATAACTATATAAATTATGTGATGGTTGGATTTATGACATAATGAGATAGTAAACTACTCCGTAAGTCCGTATTTTTAGTGTATAATTGATCAACCTAATTATGTGTACTCAAAATATTTTTTGAATGTAGTATAATATAGTGTTCATAAACAAATGATCATATATGTATATATATATATATATACTATATAAAATTGAAGTGTCTAATTCTCTCCCTTAATTAGGGGTAGCCGATTTTCTTCTCTCTAGGGTTGCCGCTTAGGGCTCCCTAGAGTAGTTTTCTGATTTTCCGTCTTCTTCTTTAGGAAGAAGTCCGGTGTACTACAATGGGGGTTTTGATAATCACATAGGCGGCAAGGACAAAGGGTTGGAGCAAGGCTTCGGCTTCGGCGGTTTGGTTACATTCGGCATCGACGTTGACGAAGGGTGCAGCGGCGGCTTCGGCGGTTTCTCTTCGGCGGCTTCGAGCGGTATGTGGAACGAATGGAAGAGGTGATGTACCAATACAAGAGGATGGCCTTAGGGGAAGAAAACACCAACTTGAATTTTGAAGATGAGAAGGATGGAAAGATTGTTTCAATCGAGAAGAGAGCTGAATTTCTGGTGATGGGAGTTGTCCTCACAGATCGGAAAGAAGCTACTGTACTGCCAGATCGTCCCCCCCCCCCCCCCCCCCCCCCCCCGACCGAACCGCCGCCGTGGAGTACAGGAGAGGCTAGAGTTTGGAAGCATCCTTTTATTTTTATTGTTTGCTTGTGTTTTACTTTTCATGATCAGACTGCTTATTTTTCTGTTGATTACCTTTATCATTGTAAGACTTTTGCATTAGGAGTGGGTGATGAGAGTTCTGCGGTGACCATTATTGGCTCAATTATGCCCAATTTAGGATCAGCGAGTTATATTGTTTTGTCAAAGGTGATTAACTCTGAGTCTGGACCAAGGGCGGATGATTGCTTGTGGTTCTTTTGTCATTTTAATCCCTCTCTGAATGCCTTGATTTTAATCTAAGCCCCCTTCTTCAAAAAAAAAAATATACTATATAAAATTTATGTGGGATCAATGCTTTAATTATAAAGGAAGATTACTTTACGCATCGTTTATGGAGGAAGGGACGTAGCATATAGTGAGGTCGTGTGGTATGGCCTTGTGGTTGCGTAAATTTTTATTTTGTTTAATTGCTTAGAGCTCGTTTGGTAACACTGAAATCAGTTGAATCTACTAATTTTGCTTAAATTTACGAATTTTGGGCCTCTGGCTGAAGTGATTGTGTCGGATGATTATGTTGATTTATGAAAAATTAATATTTAAAATATATTGTATTACTAAAATAAAGAAAAAATTATAAGAAAGAATAACGAAAATGATCATCTACAGTAACTTCATCTATTACAGCTAGAAAAGTAACTTCAACCATACTTTATTATTATTACAAAATTCAGTGCACGAATTCAAAAGTTACGTGTTTGGTTAAAAAGTTGGCTGATAGCCTGATAAGCTGAAAAAAAGAGTCACCTCTTAGGCTCTTAGTAATAATGATAAACATGGAGTATTTTTTTAAGGAATAAATACGTAGTTAGTAATCATAGTTTCTTATCCCATTTACTCTAATCCCATGGAGTATTTAAATTTGACGTAATCTAACTTGTTAGTTTGATATACTATCATATGTGTTATTAGAGTTTGTATTAGGGTTTTTTACAAGAATATTACTAAAAAAAACTTATTTACATAAATATGACTATTCATTACTACAACGTAGTGTTGTGGTAACTTAAGTTCAAAACTTGAACATGAATTACTATGATTTCATTACTACACTAGTAACTACTCATATTTTTGTAAATCATCTTTATTTTGGTCATATTTATGTAATTATTTCTTTGTATTACTTTTAGTCCTTTGACTATTAAGTGAAAGACAATTTTTGTATTTCATTTTCAATTTTTTTAATCCTTTTATGTGAAAGAAACTTTTGGTACATATCTTTAGAATTTTCCATATTTACTCATCAGTTTTTTTTATATAAAAGTTGCACTTTTGTCCTCCAACTATTATCATAGTTTCATTTGTTGTTTTCCACTGCAAAATTCTAGTCAAAGGACTAAAAATACCAATTTGACAATAATAATGGGAATTGTTTGTGAGTAAATTTTTATAGTCAAAATCAAAATTGTCTCTACCATAATAATGGAAGGACCCAATAAAAAATAACATTATAAGACTTCAATAATAAAAAACTCAACAATGATATATGAAGTGTAGAAGTAAGGTTACAAAACGTAAATGTTAATGTTTTAAGTGATGGTGGCTTAGACTTTTGACAAAATATACTCTTCATAAAATTGTTTTCAGTTATGAGTCTTTTCTTTTTCATTGGAAATCGAAAACTTTGATGTAAGACGTCTGCTTAACTTATTTATGATGGAGTTTAATTTGATGTTCAAATTGTAATAATTGCTATACAAAAATCCCATGGTGCTTGGAGATCACATTTCAGTTGTTCACATGTTCTTCCGTAAGTGGTCCCACATGTCAAGTTCCTTAGGAAGAGTTTTGCCACATGTCAAAATTCATCTAAAGGATTCTTTAGGGGTTTGCTTTATAATACTCCATATTATATAGATTGTTCCCCCAAGTTCAAGTTAATTACTAAATTACCAAGAAGTTAAAAAAATACCAAGTCCAAGCTGCTTCCAGCTTTTTGTCTAAAAGTGATTATTTTTAAGTGGAAGCTATGTTTTGCAAACACATGTTTTAGCTTTTTTAATCAAAGAAGCACAAAAGTGCTTTTGAGAAGTTGTTGCAAACACAGCCTAAGTCAACAATGACACCCTATAATTTATTTGGAATGTGCATTTTCAATATCGATGGGAATAGGAGTAGACCCGATTCCAGGCACGGAACAGGACATGGAGGATAGAGAAATGGATTGATTTCATGAGTTTTCACTTCCATACCAGTCCGATCTGATTCAGCCAAAATAGGACTGGAAGTCTGGAACTGGGCGGTGTGATATCGTTGTTATATTTTCTTTACAAAATATAGACTAAAAAGCTTAAAGTTGTTTTTGAGTATGGTTCAAGTTCCTCCCTACTCGGAACCGGCTTGGCCTGCCCCTACCAGCCCAAACTATCATATTAATAAAAGTTTGAGTAAAATAGTAAAAGATCAACCTAATCTTATATGTCATTTTTCATTTTATATAAAAATCAACTAAATAGGTAGACTATACTTCCATTAGGGATGCTCTGGGGCCAATAATAGCACTATTTGTGCTTGGATTATTGGAGCTAACATAAACAGGAAGGATCTCGTTCCAATTTACCCAGCTTCAACCCGATTTTTAACATATTAAAAAATGAAAAATGGAAACTCGTTTGGACTAGTTATTGGTACAGGTTCTGGTGCACGACCAAATGACCGGTCTAGTTTCTGGGGAAAACCAGCCATTCTGATTTGGACATCTAGTATAGTTCTGAAACCGGGGCTTGGTGATTTTATAGTTCTGAAACCGCGGCTTGGTGATTTGGCGAAGCTCATTTTCTAGTTTGTGCTATCATTACTCTAATCAACTTCAATTTACCCTGCACATGAATTGATAAGGAACACTCATAGGCCCATAATCTAAAACGATATACACAGCTTTTCTGTATTCTATTGATATAGATTCATCTCTTCATGCAATGTCATAGTTGATAGCCGTACTAATAAATGAAAACAAAAACAAGCTAGAATCAAATGAAAAGCATACCATACTCATTATCAAGTTTGAAGAATTAATGAACAGCAAACTGATTTAGTCTAGTTCGTGTTGATTTTGAAACTCATTCGTTTTATGAAACACGACTTGAACAATTTAGCAGCTGTCTTAACGAATTACATCATTCTTTTGTAGGGAAGGTTGCAACAAGAAGAGCATCCTGCATAAAACTTTTACACTATGGTTTCTTAAGTGATCTGTTAAGTAACTTTAGACAATTTATCAGTAAATTTAACGACGCCAAGTCGCCAACCACAACATAGTCAAGATTAAGGTGATGATGTGATATATACTGAGTAAGTAACTATCGGATTGAAAATTTTCTGATCTTGCCTAATTTATGTCTCAGTATAAAACTATCTATTATGGTATTGGTCTAAGCTAATCTTCCTAAATCTTTTTGGTCTGGCCTGAATGTTTATAGTCTGGTCTGGTCAAACTAAAATAACAATAAGTAATGCAACACAAAAATAAGGTGAAGAAGACAGTCAGAGACAATCTAAGTGTTTAACTTGTGGTTTCTGTTTCAACTGTGTCAATATATATCCTACCACTTCTATAGAAACGAACTATCATACTATCATATATATGTGGCTATATAATCACATTTAAATATTAATGTGTAAGCTAGGAACTATGCCATTCTTGAAACTTCTACCTTCAAAACAGTTGAATATATGGCATTTATGCCCTTCTATCACATCAAGGGGGAGAAACGTCATTGCAGCCTCAATTTTTGCTCACTAACTTTCATGGCCAATGCAGCTCTTATAGCAGAAGCCAATTCACTCCTCTGAGTGAAAATCTCATCCCCGCCATTCTTCCCTTCAAGAAACTGTAAATCCCTACAAAGTCCCGAAGAATGCTTGTCCACCTCATCGAAGGAGGCTGACAAATCCTCCTCCCTCGTAAGCAGCATATTATGTAAGATTGAGCAAGCGCCAATATATGCAACTGCAACTTTATCATCTGACTCAGTTGACTTATTCAACACACCCCATTTCCTCAGGCTTGCAATGGCTTCATGGGCAGGTAAGAGCATAATACGATGCGCATTGTTGAAAATTTCCTCATTTGACCCTGGTGAGCAACAATTGAAAGGCAGGATTAGCCAGGGAAGTAAAGGGTATGCCCCTTCTCCGGCGAGAAACTGAGGTACAGCCACCCCATGTATATGCACTTTCTGGGATTTCAAAATTGCCCCATTTTCTATATCTCTGTATAAAGTTGAGGACTTTAGGATCTGGGAATCTGTCTTTTGCCCGTGAAAACCAGCTATGATACTCAGAATTCTTGAGGACGAGTCTACTACTATTTGAGCAGCTATGGTGTTTTCTGCATTTTCATGGAGAATGTTATCTTTTGGCGGAACTGCTTCGTGGTTTCTTCTGATCCTGAACCTCACGCATTTGACAGCTCCGCAGCAGTTGGGGATTCCAGTGAGGGCATCGAACTGAGTTGACACGGACGCCAGCTCGTTCGGGCTCGGAAACCCGACCCAGAACCGGAAATTGGTGCAGAGGACCCGGCAGAGCTGTTTGACGCAGAACTTGGATACAGATACCGAGACACGGAATCGGTCGGAAATGTCCCGGAAATCCGCGCCGCTGGCCAGCCGAAAGAGGCCGATACCGAGCCTAGTCTCGGCGGCAAGGTTAAGAGGGGAGTGAACCGGATCGCGGCATTCCAGCAACGGCTCTAAGAGGCCGCAGAGCCACTCGAACGTGGATGATTTCATGTTGAAGAACTGCTTGAACGAGTCCGGATTCCGGCGTTTGACTGAATCTATTCCGACGACACGGGAGATCCTCGATTCCGGGTCCTGGACGTCGGATTGGACGCCCGGTTCTGAAAAATGGCCGCGCCTGCGTTTTCTGGTGAACGGAGGGAGGGAGAGCGTGGCGGCGATTTCAGAGGCGGACAGGAGATGGAGAAGCAGAGCGAAAACGACGTCGTGTTGGTCGGATAGCGGATCCCCGTTTGTTGCGCAATCCGTGACGGGAAGAGGGTTCGAGGTGGGGAAGAGGAGGATTAGCAATGAGAGGAGTTCGGCGACTAAGGAAGAAAGCAGCGCAGCCAAACGGCGGCGACGCTGCCTTCGAGGATCCATAGGCCCTCTGACAACCTATCTTTACTTTTCCGGCGAATCAGTTGTGTCACAGTCAACCTGACATCCGGGTCTGCATAGGTGGGGTTCGGGTTAGTCCTGTGATCAAATTTAGGACGTGCTCAATTCGATTTTTTTAAAGGTGACAACTCCGGTACCCATTTAAAGGGTACCGTACCTACTACTCACATGATTGGTCCAAATCATTAAATCATTTTTAATTTATATTTAAATAATTCAACTGCAACATTCTGATTGGTTCAAGTGGACAAAGGTATGGTACCTTTTGGGTACCATAGAATCTACCTTTTTTAAAAAGGAATTCGATTTTAATTTTGTGTACTTTCACACAATTTCAGCTATTTTAGGATGCAAAAGGGAAATTTGTTGATTCAGTCCCGTAACTTATAGCTATATCCGATATTGGTCCTATAACTTTATAAACTTGCAATTTACATCCCGTAACTAATAAGTTGGTGCAATTTTGGTCCTTCTCTGCCGGAACTTATCAATTTCGCCGGAAAAAGACACATCACCTGCCACATGGTATATTATTTGGAACTCATTTGCTGACTCAATATTGGCCCTTAGCTGGAGTTAAAAAACCAGAGTACGAAAGCTCTTCGCTGAGTGCGTGCACAACCATACCAAGCCTATTATCGGATCAGCAAAAGGGGGGAAGAACATATAACTCTACCTGAAGATTTCTCCTGAACTAAGTCGAGAGAGTGAGTTATTCTTCAAATCTGCTAGTAACGGCTCTCGATCAGACAAAAGTTTATGGAGTGTGATTGTGGTAAAAAAGGTTTCTCTTCTAACTTCTTGGACTTATAACGATCCTGGAAGGAGGCTTCGTGTGTGCGCTAGAAGCAGAGTAAGAAGTTCAGCTTTTTAATTTACATTGTTTGCTTCTTTTTTTTACTAAATAAACTAGAAATTTAAGAATAGCATTTGAATAATAAATTTGTTTGAAAATTAAAATGTATTTTATATTTTAAGCTAGGTTCTGCTAATAAAATTACCATCTTCTATTTGTTGGGGGCATTTGATAATGTATTTTTGTGTTCAAAGCAGTAAAAAGTAAGTTAAGCTTCATCTTGTTATGATACAGACAGAAGGTTGCATATTTTTTGAATGGGCGGACCCACCTATGTGCCATCGTTGAACGATGATAATTCTGGGATTGGTTAGAAGACTCAATTCAAAAGAGGAAGAGGTTGTAAAGTTGAAGACTAAAAATAAAAGGCTCCTCATAGATGTTGTGGGGCTAGTGTTTTTGCTCCTAGTCTTTCTCATGTTAAAGATGTGAGAAGTGAAGATGATGTAACATTTCAAATGCTTTATTCTTAAAACATGAATCCAGAAAGCTTTAAACTTCATTCAAGATGCTCCTGCTGCAACCAAGAAGAAATAATTTTTTAACTCTAGCCAAGGGCCAACATTGAGTCAGCAAATGAGTTCCAAATAATATATCATGTGGCAGGTGATGTGTCTTTTTCCGGCGAAATTGGTAAGTTCCAGCAGAGAAGGACCAAAATTGCACCAACTTATTAGTTACGGGCTGTAATCTGCAAGTTAATAAAGTTACAGGACCAATATCGGGTATAGCTATAAGTTACGGGACTAAATCAACAAATTTCTCGGATGCAAAATGTGTTAGCACACTTTTTGTACATGTATATTCTCTAATTGTTTATCTACACATATGTTTAAAGTATGATATTATTTTTTTGATCATTAAAGTATGATATTATTAAAACATGATAATAACTACTCCCTCTGTCCCATTTTATAAGATGTCTTTACTATTCACTTGGTCAACACAAATCAATCTTAATCTCTTACTTTATATATCAAAATTTTATGAAATTTGAATTATTTTTTGCAGATTTTGTAGCGGTTTTAATGTAGTTTCTGAATATGTAATTTTTATTTTGAGTGCAGACAGGGATCCGTTTGCTTTATCGTTGGTCAAACATCGTAACCCGAAAAGTATCTTATAATTTGGGAAGGAGGGAGTATTTCTACTTATAGATTAAAATGTGAGAGTCCTATTTTAAAATATGCACACATTTTCACTCATATTTAAGACAATTTCCCTTGAATAAATATGCTTAGCAAACACTTTCATATGAATGTGTTGCTAAGCCTCTCACGTCATGTTTTATTGAACAGCATGTAAGCTTTTATAAACAAACATGTCCATCCTTGCATCTTGTATAATCTCCAATGAAAACGTGTAAACGGTGCATATGTGACAAAAGAGATTTAGACAAGAAAAAAACTTAATTAATAGAAAGTCATTCACAGGATTTTTACAATTTAATAAATTCTAGTTACTTTGTATTCATAATGTCAAGTACAATTTCAAGATCTAAACGATGTGGTTGACATTGTGATCAAAAAACAATTGAATATTGTTGGGGAAAATGTCTTAAATTTGCATTAAATGGTCAATTTGGAGGCAATAATTTGAGTGGGGTCCAATTCCGATTTGGGACCGGTCTTCAAAGTGATTTCGGATTCTCCTTGCTAAGGGCTTCAATTCAATATATGATACACCCAAAACGGATAACGAGTGAATGAGAAATTGATTCTCGAAGTTCACTCGTTGAAATGAAAAAAACCGGGAAAAGGATGGGTTTCTTGAAAGTGGAAAGGCTCTCTTCACTCGAATGGGGGGGGGATCAAATCCCGAAAACAGAGAAAAAAATTGCGACATGCGTGCCTAGACGACTTGCAGACACGAATGTTGTCCGTAAATCTATCTTACAAAGATATGATTTAATTTTTGTTTCTTCGCGAATAAAACTGCTTGGACAAAAACGCTTCTGCTCCACATCAGAACTGCTAAAACAGAACCGCTTATGCTCCGCACCAGAACTGCTCGCACTAGAAGTCTTCTGAAATGTAACAACAGTTAATGCTCAACGTGCTTCTCCTTTAATGCATCTTTAAATGGAAAGTTTTTCGACATATTAATGACCAACATTCTGGTCATTTATGTCCAACGTTCTGATCCATTAAACCTCACTTAACGCACAACAAATTTGTCCCTATCTTAACACAGTTTGCACGTACTTTCTCAGCTAAAAACACCTCCAGCTCTCTGAAACTTTCCTTAATGTTCGTACTTTGTTTCCGTTCACTGGAAAAATCGATTGTGTGCTCAAACTGTTGTCCGTAGCCAACATATCCTGAGAAACTATCGCTGCAACGTTTCTCGCACCGTGGGAGACAACGAATACATTTTAAGGAAATTGTGCATTGCACAAGCTTTGACTTTATGTCCCTTCTTGTTTATGATTATCGTGGCTAATTTAAAAATTTAATTTTAATTAAATAACTTCGTTGTTTTTTCGAAATTCACCCCGAAAAGAATAATTAAATATTCTGTCCGATAATAATTAAATATTATCGTGGCTACTAATATTTATTACACCGTGGAAAGAATGTAAACAACTTTCTATTAATTAATGTTTTGTGTCGCGTAGTTAACACCTTAGCAATGAAGATGTTATAACACCTTAGCACCCTACCCATCTACCTGACCCCCACCCCTTACCCGACCCCATTCCTACTGTCTACATACCCTCCCTATCTCCGACACCCTACCTCACCCCTACCCCATATATAAACCCCCTACCCTCTCCCCATTAATAAACCTACCATCCCAATCCCAAATACCTATTCCACATACCTACACTCTAACCCCACCCATGCGCTAGTACACCCTACTCGTACCCAAACTACCTACCTACCATAACCCCCCCAACCCTTACCCTCCACCCACCACTTACATACCCCTAACTTTCCACCTTTTCCCCCACCCCATCCTACCTCATACCTACCCCACCCTCTGCCACTCACTCTACCTCTACTCCACCCCTACTATTCGTACTTGGGGCCTTCCCCCACCTAAGGGGGGTAGATAGCGGTGGGATTGGGGTAATGTTTAAGGTAAGGCATGAGTGGCACTAAAGAGGGGTTGAAGTCCTAAATGTGTCGGTCTCGTGAAGTAATATATATTTATCAAGCACCTCTCAATAAACAAAGGATTGGTACAACATGTTTCAATAAACAACGCCTACTAGTGAAGTGAACACGTTGGTGGCTGGAACGACTAGATTGCTTAGTGTGGATAAAGACGTAATCACGTTGTTGTGACATTTTGTCCATCTTCTTAAGCAAATTCTAATGAAGTTATGTGAAAGATAAATGCATTTGTCAACCAAATCACTAATGTTGATCCAATAGTAGGAAGCATCTAGTTTTGCTGGATGGCAAGTTCCCTACTGTGCGACTAGATCGGCTCCCAACTACGCATATGGGTAACATTAAGATGGAATTGTACTATAGGAGTGGACATATTGGTTTGGTTTAACCGAACCAAACGAAACCATATTTATCGATTCAAACTGACTCGGAACAAAACTGAATCATATGCAATTTAAGTTTAGTTTAGTAGTATTTCTTTCAAATCGTATAAAACAGAACCGAACCAAAATCCAGAAAAATAAAATAACCGAACGGAATTAAATAAATCTAATAAAACATTCATATATTATTAAAACTAATAAATCCAAATCGAATCGAAAGATAGTATGTGTAAGGAATAAATGTATTTAGATTTTGATGATGCTAGAATTATTAGAACTTTAGTATACCCCCATTAGAATTGATGTATTAGAATTTTTCTAAGTGTAAGCATTCTGGAGTAATCGAATGACAGAAGACTTACAGGCCCTCTGCTGAATGTTTACTGAACAGAAGTGCTCGAGGCCCTCTGAGACCGCCCCTCTGTATACAGCAACAGAAACCCTCACACTTAGTCATTCTCAAGCTTACTAAGCCGGTTATCTTAACGGAATCTTTCCTAACGGCTAGGAGCTCCTGAACGAAAGACTACAAGACAGTACATTTAATGCTCATTTAATGAGCGCTATGCTCTATAGAGTTAAAGCTGATGATTGACCGAGATTCCAGGGAAATCTTATCCCAAATTAGCAAGCCGCCAACCTTGCGGGTCCAACCGGTCAACTCCACTGTACGCGCATTTAATGAAGTTGTTTTCTTCCTCCAACGGGAAAACAACCCTAGTATATACTCCCTCCGTCCCGAA